GATTGATGTCTTTATGTCTACACAACTAGAAGACTGCTTTTCTTATGTAATCAAAGTGGAGTGAAGTGACTTTTATGGACACGGGCATCATGTCAATGCCCCGTGAGAACATGAAAAGCCAATGAAATATACTGGAAAACTAGTTTATAGGGGCTTCTCTGTGAAGAGAAACTCCTCCAAAAATTAGTGTATGCCATTATATGAGGCGAGCACACAGTATTCTTTAGTAAAAGGCGAAAGAATAGTTCGCTCTGTGCTCACCGCATGGCTGCATGGATACTAAATTTTCCATTTCCTCTATTTTTATAGCAGTTCCCATCGTGATGGTTTTGCTTCTGTCCCATGTGGGATTCTGAGAAACAACAACAAAGTGTTGCCGATTTGGCTTTACCTCAAAATCCCATTACTAACGTTCCCTTTAGATCTAATGATTTCAAATTTTACTGGATCTTCAATTATCCAATACCTTAATATTTTAGGATAATCCTTTAAACATTTTAAGGTTCTCATTTGAAGTGTAAATAGGTGGACATCAAAACAACACAGAAGATGAAGAACAAGGTTTCGACAGAGCAAATAATAGGTGACAATTGACTCCAATAAAGGCACATTTAGAATGGATTTTGCAAGAAGCACTTCTGGCTATAGACATTTTGTGACAAGTACTTTTATTAGTAGCATGTTAAAAAATTTCTTAAAAATACGCTTCATGAAAAATACTTGAAAGTGTTTCATGAAGATGTGCTTCACCATAAAACATTTATCCAAAAAGCACTAAAAACTATTTTCATGACTAATAAGTATTTGAATGTCCTTGATAACCATTTCATTTTTTTATTTTATTTTTAGTTTTATAGATAGAGGGGACGCAAAGGAAATGAGGTATGAAAAAGAGTGAATGACACATGGTGGGAGAGTTGCAGACAAAACTACCACCAAAAGCTAAACAACATCGACATCTCTTCAATGCACCTTATAACTCGATTCTCGTCCAAGACCACCGGAAGTGGATATTACAGTTGGTTATTGCAACTCATGACACTGTTTCTGAAAAAAAGCTTAAAGTTAATAAAGGCTCATTAATCCTCTCTCCTCCCAATCGTCTTATAAATTGGAGCTCACGGCTCTATGCATGTTATTTTATTAACTATAACAATATTGACATAAAGACACAAATAAAAGAATACTAAAGAACAGGGATGTACTTTAAGCATACAATGGTATGAGTTGGCTAAGTGCTTGACGAAGTGTCTCACCGAAAAACTGGAATTTTTTTTTTTTTTTTTTTTGGCATTGTGCACACTATTGTAGGATGCAATGAGGATAGAGTTCTGCATCCTCATCTACTTAATTGTGCCCCGGTGAACTAACGTTCTAGCTTGGCCCTGCTCTCCCACATCATTTACCTCGTATCTCAAGCACTAAATTGAAAAGCAAAAACTAAAAACGAAACCTAACCCTAAATTTCGAGCAGAACAACGTTAGAATTTGATTGTCTAACCTCCAAAAACAAATCAAACAAGCCATGAATCTCTTCTAAACATATTATCCGACAAAAGAATAGGTAGTGCTTGCATATTGAGTGGGCTTCATTTGTAATCTGCAAGGAACGTTCCGAACATAAAACTTTAAGTAACTGAAATTTGCAGGGCTTCCTTTGTAAGAGAAATCCCTTGAAAAAATTGGCGTATGCCACTGAATGCGGTGCACACACAGTATTCTTTAGTAAAAGGCGAAAGAATAGTTCGCTTTGCGCTCACCGCATGGCTGCGTGGTTGCCATAGCTGACATTCTCTCCTCTTGTAGGCGCATTCTCGCAGAGATTGTTTTGCATCCTCCGATGTGGGATTCCTTGCTAATTAATGAAGTTTTCACATTTCTCCATTTACATATAATCACATCACATGCTAAAGGACATCAAGATTAACAGCCATATCATTATTATTTTAGACCAAGATATTTTAGCTTGTCATGTGTAGCAATCACCAATTTGAAAACTTACAAATATACACACAAACGAATCACCAATTTGTTTGGTTGATGAGAATATGGGTTGTGTTTAGATTTGTTTGGCTGATGAGAAAATGGACTAAAGTTCGAATATTTAGCTCAATTTTGTTCCCCATTGTTGGAAAATCTAGGTTCATTGCCATTTGGTTTCGGATGTTAAAAGATTTTAACTGATTCTATGATTTCATTTTATGGGTAGTATTTTATAATTTTGGCAACCAGGCCGCACTTCGTTGTTTAATCTGTTTTTGATGTGCTGTCTGTATTGATTGACTGATGAAGATCTACAATTGATCTTGTTGAAGCTAATAAAACATGGAGTTTGATATCGCTGTCTTATGTAATAAATGATAATTGAATTAGCAACGAACGTATAGTTTTGTTTCTTATATTCCGCTACGTCTTTGTGATGCAGTTAACTTTTAGTTTCTATGTTATGTTACCTTGTTATCGTTTTATGTTGTTGGGTTGTAGTTCCCGTGTTTTTTTTCCTTTCCATTTTATATTAACCCAATCTTCAATTGTTTGTTTCTGTGTTCTGTGTTCACTCAATCAGTTTTATACACAATGAATGGTGACACAACTTTGTGTCTACTGCATGCCTTTTTCCATTTAATCTCCATTGACTAAATGGAAGTTTGGTTATTTTTAACTCCTGATTGTTCCAGAGGTATCACTCTTGCTGCAGTAGACCAAAAATTTCTATTTCTATTTGTATTTTGTGCATTATGGTTTAATAGCTTATCAGGTTGTTTTTTGCCTTCTAGGTTGAGGAGAACATCTGTAAGTTTGCCAAGAAGGGTCTGACACCCTCTCAAATTGGTGTTATTCTTCGTGATTCTCACGGTATTGCTCAGGTGAAGAGTGTCACTGGCAGCAAGATCTTGCGTATTCTCAAGGCTCATGGTGCGTATCTTGAATTTGTTTTCATAATAACCTCTTTGTCCTTAGGAGAAATCTTGAAAATTATATCTTATACTTTCCTTTTCGCGTGGTTAGGTCTTGCCCCTGAAATTCCTGAGGATCTTTACCACCTGATCAAGAAGGCTGTCTCAATCAGGAAGCATTTGGAGAGGAACAGGAAGGACAAGGATTCTAAATTTAGACTGATTCTGGTTGAGAGCAGAATCCATCGCCTTGCTCGTTACTACAAGAAGACAAAGAAGCTTCCACCAGTCTGGAAGTAGTAAGTACCTTTTTGTATTTCATTTTAAGTAGTCATAGATTTCATTAATCTTACTTGAAGATGCGCAGATGGGTCATTGCCTAAAAAACACTTGAGAATTTTATCAGAATAGTTAAGTAATAAACACTGCCATAGGTCTGCTAAATCAAACTTTGGATATGGGTCCCAGCAGTTTAATCTTTGATGCGGTTTTACAAATCTTGGATTTAGTTCATGTATTCTATAAGTAATAAACCACTGCCCTAACCAAATTGTGTACTGTATTATGTAAACTAATTCGTTTTCTGGTGTTCTTACGTATCCAAAATCGGAATACCTTATTAAACGTGGTAATCTAATATTTGTTCCCTTGAAGAATGAAATTTGAGTCATGTCAAAGTGTGTTGGCTTTCCTCCTAATTCATGTTTATGCTTGTTATATAAGTAATAAATCATTGTTAGGCTGAAGCGGGTCTCACCATGAAATCGTTGTTGTTCCGTGTCTTGTACTATAAGTTTACATGTCAACTGTCGTGTCATTTGCAATGAAATTGTAGCGGCTACCTTGAATGCTTACTCCTTTGTTCTGTTGTTTGCAGTGAATCGACCACCGCCAGCACTCTTGTGGCTTAGGAAGGATATGATTGGCAACAGTTTTGGGTGCTCCTGTTAATGTACTTTTTAAGAGAGTAGTACTTATGCTTTAATGTCTTATTTTCTTTCATTTGCTTCAAGTTGGATGACTTAATTCAGAATCCTGTGGAACACTCCTTCGTTGTCGATGCGCGTTTTGGATATTTTTCTCATATGCAGCTGTTTAGTTTTCCATGGGGAGTTGATTTTGGTCACCATATATGAAAAATCAAACAAAAGCTATCAGAGTTCTCTGCCTACACCCACACCTGGGTTTTCTATTCAAATTCTTCAATTGGGTGTCGCCATATTCGATTTACTTGAAAGAGTAAACTGTTGATTTTCCTCCTAATTTTCACGTAGATTTCAATTTATCCTCTATTATTTAATCCTCGTTAATCACTATTTTATCCATGCTATATAATTAGCTTGTGTTGTATTTAGTGTAATGTAAGAGAGATGGATGATTTTTTTTATTTTTGTTGACAAGACGCATGATACTTAACCACAATAACGGAAAGTAATCATGCATCTATACCATGGTTTGAGTTTGATCTTCCTCGCCTCTAACAACTAAGGAGAGTATTCAATTGGGGATTTGTGAGATTTTAATGCTTTTTATGGAATTTAAAAGATTTGGAGAGATTCCAGATAAAATTTTAATTCAATTCCCTTACAATCTCATGAGCAAATATGAGATTTGTGGATATTTAAAATACATTACGAAATATCTTCAGTTCTCTCCTATTCCTCAATTTTTTCAAATTCTTTAAAATAAATTTTTAATTGAATACAGTTTTAATAAACTATCTTAAAATCTGAATTAAATATATTTTGAATCACTTAAAATTATGATTGAATACATTTTAAATTATACATGATCGTTTAAAATCCTGATTAGATATCCCTAAATCTATTATAAGAATTAAAAACTCTTAAAATTTCAATTAGATGCACCCTCCTAAGTATTTAATTCACTAACGCAACAGCTCAAAAAAATAAAATAAAATAAATAATTGTTGACAAGAAACTCTCTTAATACAATACTTTTTTTTGGCGGGAAGGAGGATATGAACTCCGAGTCCCAACTGGGTTTTGGAGTTTTTCTGGTACAAATAGCTGGGATTAGGACTTAGGAAACTGTAAACCCTAGTTCCCCAAATTCCTCTAGATTTTCCCGCTGTATCCAAACATGAGGCCAATACTGATGAAGGGGCACGAGAGGCCCTTGACCTTCCTCAAGTACAACAGGGACAGCGACCTCCTCTTCTCTTGCGCCAAGGATCACAAACCCACCGTCTGGTTCGCCGACAATGGCGAGCACCTCGGCACCTACCGCGGCCACAATGGCGCCGTTTGGTGCTGCGACGTTTCCCGGGACTCCTCCCGCCTCATCACTGGCAGCGCTGATCAGACCGCCAAGCTCTGGGACGTTCGGACCGGCCGACTGCTCTTCACCTTCAACTTTGACTCCCCGACCAGGGCTGTTGACTTATCCGTCGGCGATCGGCTGGCTGTTATCACCACCGACCCCTTCATGGGGGTCACGTCCGCGATTCACGTCAAGCGCATTGACAGAGACCCCGAAGATCGTAACAATAATCTCCTCTTATTTGCTTTGCCCTGTTTTTAGTTTATAAAACGAAATTGAATACGATGTTTTTTTTATTACGAGTGATATTACTACTTTAAGCTAAACTAATTCAAGTGCAATTTTGAATGTAGTATATAATTCGTTGGTTTCGATTTTTCAGAGGTTGGTGAATCGATTTTGATTCTCAAGGGACCTAAGGGACGAATTAATAGAGCTGTTTGGGGGCCTTCGAACAGAACCATCGTAAGCGCCGGAGAAGACGCAGTTATTCGCATTTGGGATGCAGAGGTGAGTTATTGTTGGCTTGTTCAATTCTTGCATTTGAAATTTCGAAACTCTTCGTTAACTTTGTTGGCAATGAGCGTTGTGTTGTTGTATTGCAGACCGGTAAATTACTTAAGGAGAACGACCAGGAAGTGGGTCACAAAAAGACGATAACTTCACTTACAAAATCCGCCGATGGTTCACATTTCCTAACTGGTTCCCTTGATCAATCTGCCAAGGCAATGCATCTCATACTCGCCGCCTTTCTTTTGTTCGTATTGAGTTGTTGCCGGCTCTGTACTCTTTACTGAACTGGGTTTTCTGTTGCGTATTTTTTAGCTTTGGGATACTAGAGAGTTGACACTTATCAAGACCTATGTGACAGAGCGTCCAGTCAATGCTGTTGCAATGTCTCCTCTTCTTGATCATGTATGTAAATTTCATCTCAAATGGGTTTGCAATATCTTCTTGCCAACTTGTTTCAAGTCAAAAAGTTTCCGGCATAAGTTCTAAGTTTGACGATTTGATTATACTTAATCAACACACTTAGTTCCATCGCATCTCTCATTTACGCGCAATTAATCAAAACAAAATGCTTTTTGTTGCTGTCCAGGTGGTACTTGGTGGTGGTCAGTATGCAGGAGATGTCACCAGAACTGATCATCGTGCTGGGAAATTCGAAGCCAAATTCTACGACAAGGTAAACCATTCGACTTTGTTTATGTTTTGTAGAATGAATGTTCTTTGTTGTTGTCTCTTCAGTACATGGTTTTTAATTCTTTTTCCGGATCCTATAGATTCTTGAAGAAGAGATTGGAGGTGTTAAAGGGCATTTTGGACCTTTAAATGCTTTGGCTTTCAACGGGCTTATAGCTTAGTTGATTATAAGCGTTCACCCTTTGCATTTGAGGTCCCGAGCAATGATTCCCTCCTCTCACAATATCGCTTCTATAAAATAAAAAATGTTCATACGGTTAATTGGAAAAGAGTACTGTGTTTATAAGCAACATGCAAGTAGGCTCATATATTCATCTGGCTATGCCATCTTCCCAGTTCACTGGCTATGAACAATGTAGCTTCTATTCCGCTACATCATCCACAGCTGCACATTTACAAAGCAATTCACTATGGCTTACGAGCATCTGTGAAGGAACCCCATCACGTGAAATGCAGTTCACCGGTTCTAAAACAGTTGAGTAGAAGATTGTATTTATATAGTTTGCATCAGTAACTTGAATCTGTTACACGACCACTCCCCTACATCCAAGCACAAACCCTACCGCTCGTAGCGCACACTGCCACTCCAAACACGAGAAACGTGGAGTACCATTGTTTGCTCTCAGTGCAGCGAAGCTCCAAAGAAAAATTGCCCTTGGAGTGTGCATAAAAACATTCGATCCTTGAGAATTGGTGTATGAAGAACTTACCGTACCTAATTGGTCATCAAGGAAAAACTAGTGGGAGATTTAGCAGGAAGAGCTTGAAGGAGCTAAAACTGCAATCTGCTGGATTCTCATGACCAAAATTGTGGAAATGATGGAGGATGAGTCGGCTAATACCTCTTAAATAAATGGTATATGAAGAAATATGATGAGTTATTCAACTAAAGACCGTATGAACTATGACTAAATAATGAAGCCGTCGTTTTTACTAAGAAATGTGTTATTATATATGTTTAATATTTAATGGGGGTGCTAATGCCATACTATTCTACTTAATTGATATGCCTTTAATTAGCTAAATTAGCGTTGGACATTTTCTCTATAACACAAAATGCCTGATGATAGTTAGAAGAAGACTGAAATGCTTATGTCATCTTCTTGGCCTAAAAAAGAATGAACTGCCAGGACGAAGCTACCCGTTGATCCTTTATAAATAATATATATATATATATATATATATATATATATATATGCGCGCGCGCGCGCACGCGTGTGTGTGTTAAAAAAAAGTGTCAAAAGTGTGGGGTTTTACCTCATCCTTCAGATCACTTGTTTTACGTTAGTTTAGGACATTTAGGTCAAATTCCTTACATGGGATAACGTTGCATTCATCATCATTCCATCTCTCTCAGACTCTCGGGGAATCGCAAAATCTCGTGACATTCATGTGGGCGTCTGTCACCCAAAATAACATTTGAGTTCTACGCTACTACCGTGTTCTCCTTCCACGTAGCCCTAAATCTCCTCCACCCTTCCAGCTTTCCTGCTCTGGTTTTCATGGACAACAACAATCGCAACGTCAGCAGCAGCAGTACCTCCAGAAGGTAGTTTCTTCCCCCTCCCATTTCCTCTCCTATCCTGTTTGGTTGCTGAGAAAATGGGGAACGAGTTCAGATTTAACAAAATCAGAATTGTGACTTTCCTTTGTTTTCTGAGAAATTTATTCGATTTTTTCATTGTTTCAATCAATTCACCCTTCTTTTGGGAATTTCTCGATAAAAGTTGGGAATTTTTTTTTTTTTTTTTCCATTTAACGGCAGAGGAATAATGGAGTTTGTGCTTACGTACAACAAATACTGTGAAAGTCTGATTGTGTATTTTTGTGGGCAGTGGTGGAGGAGGAAGAGATTGGGAGGTGAAAAATCATAGAGAAACATCGAGAGGACGAGGTGGCAGCGGAGGTGGTGGCTCCGGCAAAGATAAAATTGACGCACTTGGTAGATTATTGTAAGCACTACACTAGCCGATCTGTTAATTATTTGTTAATTATTGTTAGGGTAATGGTGCCTCTCTGTTACTTATTTAGGACGCGTATATTGCGCCATATGGCGGGTGAGTTGAGTTTGAATATGCGAAGCGATGGATATGTGAAGGTTAATGATCTATTAAAGCTAAACATAAAGACATTTGCTAATATTCCGTTGAGATCACATACTATTGATGAGATTAAGGAGGTTAGTGATCAGTTCTCGATAGTCCTTTATTTGTTAGATGAACTGCGTAAATAGGATGCTTAATTATGTGCTGCGTCTTGTTAGGCTGTCAGAAAGGATAATAAGCAGCGCTTTGGCCTCTCGGAAGAAAATGGGGAACTTTTGATACGTGCAAACCAAGGCCACACAACAACGGTAGTTTATCTTGAATATCTGTTTGGAGTCGCTTCATGGAGATGCGAGACCTTCTGTTAATTGCTTGAATTGTCAACTGTTTCCGTAGATTACTGTTTTACTGCTTTAGTCACACGCTATCCAAGTAGTTTTTGTCTGTGTAATCTTGTGAAATCACAGCAAGGTATTAACTCGTTTCTCTTTGCACAATCTTGTGAAAGCACGGCCAGGGTAGAGTCTTTCTGTAAGTGGAATCTTTGTTGAGACTTGAAAATTTGGTTAAGCTGGAGAATTGTTACCTTACACTCTAAGACTGGATGTCCTTACATTATTTTTCCTTGTGCTCTGAGTTTCAGATCATTATGTAGATACTTATGGAATACTTAACAAATCAGAATTTAGTTATCCAGTTTATTTGTCCTGTGCATTTTTAGATTATGGATCTGCCTAAAATGCTAGCTTAAGAATGGCATTGTATTTACCATTTTTTGCGTTGTGCGTTTTTGGATTGTGCATCCATCTATACTTGCTGGCTATACATTATATGTTAATATCTACTCTGCGTGTATATTGACAGATAGTTGAATCTGAAAGATTGTTGACGCCAATCCTTTCATCTGAAGAAGTTCCAGGTTTATCTTTTAGTGTGCAATCTTATTGCATTCTTAGCACATAATTTCTCAGTCAAGAATGAAGAGTTGTGCGTGTTTCTATGGAAATTTTACCTCTTTGTTTGTCTCACTGTTTTTCTTTCCCTTTGATTTGCAGTTTGCGTGCATGGGACCTACAGGAAGAATTTGGAATCCATATTAGGCTCCGGTCTAAAGACCATGAAAAGATTGCATGTTCACTTCTCACGTGGCTTGCCAACAGATGGGCAAGTGATTAGCGGTACTGTGTTTGATTAGGATTATTGATTAGCAAATTTTTCTTTTCATGAACCTGTGATGATGAACCGTCTTTCATTTATAATCGCACATGAATAACAACACTTGTCTGGGGAGGACCATTTGCAGACCCAATTTCTAAAACTTAGCACTTATCTATGCAATTTTTTGTAGACCTGAAAGTTTTACATATGTTTGCCATTTTTAAAGGTTTAAATTTTTCTCTTAGTTCATCAACTCTGTTGCAAGTTGTATACAAAGTTTACTTTAGTGAAGGAACAAATGAAGTAATACTGTTCACAGGTGGTGAACCCATTAAAGTATGTGATACAAGTTCTCCACCTTTGTGTCTAACCTCGATGAATTCTGCATTTTGTGGTCACCGACTTTTTCAGAATTTTAGATTTCTCAAAAGTTTTTAGTCATTCTCTAGTGTTTTAACTGGTAATAACTATCATGACTTAATGAGCTATAGTGGCAATGATTCTGAAAATATACAAAAGTTATTCATTTGAATCCTAGACACATTTTTCATCTTACTGTAATAACTTGTTTGATTTGTATTCTTGTAGGTATGAGGTGCAATGCTAATGTTTTGATCTATCTCGATGTTAAAAAGGCTTTAGAAGGTATAGTTTTACAAACCATTCATTATCGAAGTTCAGAATTTTCTTTTACATTTGTCATGAACCCAAGCACCTATGATTTCTTGTAATTTTCATTGCAGAGGGAATGAAGTTTTACATTTCAGAGAACAAGGTGATCTTGACCGAAGGCTTTGATGGTGTTATTCCAGTCAAGTACTTTGAGAAAATAGAATCATGGCCCGATAGAAAGCCGATACCTTTCTCAACCTAAATCGGTTGGATGCAATCGTTCCATTTCTCTATTTCATTTCCTACCCGTTGGAGGATTGTAGCAACGATATGAGATGCAACGATTCTGTTGTTCGGAACATACGTAAAGCCGGTTGTAGTCAGCAATTTTCTTATCAATGGAAATCAAATTTTATGTTTTTGATGTTATAGATTGATGTCCGTAAACAACTAGAAGACTGCTTTTCTTATGTAATCAAAGTGGAGTGAAGAGATTTATGGACACGGGCATCGTGTTAATGCCCCGTGAGATCATGAAAAGCCAATGAAATATACTGGAAAACTAGTTTATAGGGGCTTCTCTGTGGAGAGAAACTCCCCCAAAAATTGGTGTATGCCACTATTTGAGGCGAGCACACGGTATTCTTTAGTAAAAGGCGAAAGAATAGTTCGCTCTGTGCTCACCGCATGGCTGCATGAATACTAAATTTTCCATTTCCTCTATTTTTATAGCAGTTCCCATCGTGATGGTTTTGCTTCTGTTCCATGTGGGATTTTGAGAAACAACAACAAAGTGTTGCCCATTTGGCTTTACCTCAAAATCCCATTACTAACGTTCCCTTTAGATCTAATGATTTCAAATTTTACTGGATCTTCAATTATCCAATACCTTAATAGCACACTAACTTTTTAGTATAACCCTTTAAACATTTTAAGGTTCTCATTTGAAGTGTAAATAGGTGGACATCAAAACAACACAGAACATGAAGAACAAGGTTTCGATAGAGCAAATAATTGGTGACAATTGACTCCAATAAAGGCACATTTGGAATGGATTATGCAAGAAGCACTTCTGGCTATAGACATCTTGTGACAAGTACTTTTATTAGTAGCATGTTAAAAAATTTCTTAAAAATACGCTTCATGAAAAACACTTGAAAGTGTTTCATGAAGATGTCCTCCGCCATAAAATATTTATCCAAAAAGCACTAAAAACTATTTTCATGACCAATAAGTATTTGAATGTCCTTGATAACCATTTCAAATTTTTTTTTTTTTTTTTTTTATAGTTTTATAGATAGATGGAACGCAAAGGAATGAGGTATGAAAAAGAGTGAATGACACATGGTGGGAGAGGTGCAGACAAAACTACCACCAAAAGCTAAACAACATCATCATCTCTTCAATGCACCTTATAACTCGATTCTCATCCAAGACCACCGGAAGTGGATATTAGAGTTGATTATTTCAACTCACGACACTGTTTCTGAAAAAAGCTTAAGGGTAATAAAGGCTCATTAATCCTCTCTCCTCCCAATCGTCTCATAAATTAGAGCTCACGGCTCTATGCATGTTATTTTATTAACTATAACAATATTGACATAAAGACACAAATAAAAGAATATTAAAGAGCAGGGATGTACTTTAAGCATACAATGATATGGGTTGGCTAAGTGCTCGACAAAGTGTCTCACCGAAAAACTGGATTTTTTTTTTTTTTTTTTGGCATTGTGCACACTACTGTTGGATACAATGAGGATAGAGTTCTGCATCCTCATCTACTTAATTGTGCCCCGGTGAACTAACGTTCTAGCTTGGCCCTGCTCTCCCACATCATTTACCTCGTATCTCAAGCACAAAATTGAAAAGCAAAAACTAAAAACGAAACCTAACCCTAAATTTCGAGCAGAACAACGTTAGAATTTGATTGTCTAACCTCCAAAAACAAATCAAACAAGCCATGAATCTCTTCTAAACATATTATCCGACAAAAGAATAGGTAGTGTTTGCATATTGAGTGAGCTTCATTTGTAATCTGCAAGGAACGTTCCGAACATAAAACTTTAGGTACCGTTTGGTACGCAGACGGGACGGGACGGGACAGGACGGGACGGAACGGATGTTCCGTGTTATGTTTGGTACACGCAAGACGGAACGGGACGATTGTTCCGTTCTACGTTTGGTAGCGCATGGACAGAACGAAACCAAAAGATAAAAATGACTAAAATACCCATGTTCCATTTGTTGTTTGGTACAATATTTATGCGTGGAACGGGATGAGACTTTTTTTTTTTTTTTTTTAACTTGTTCAAATTTTAACACTATATGCTTATCCATTATTTGTTTTTCTTGGTCCAAATTTTATTAGGTATATGTTGTGTTCCACTTGCAAACCCCTTTAAAATTTGTAATTCTTCTATGATTTAGGATGAAGTCAAACTTCCTTGAGCCAGTAAATATTGGAAGTGATGAGATGTGTAGCATGAATGAGATGGCTGGTTCTGTCTATATGGTCATGGTTGCCATGCAATGTTGAAAAATATATAAGTTTAATGATCATGCATGTCCAGAACAAACAAGCATATAATTGCACCATAAGTTAACATACATCGTCATATAGGGCGGTAAAGGTAAACAAATGCCTAAAAAATTACTAATTCTACCTCAAAGTAGTGCCTCTTGATCTCCATCTCAACATCAAGGCCAGTGAACTCACACAAATGCCTATGGGTAAAGGAGTCCTCAGCTCTAAAAACAGGACCAATCTCAAAAATACGACCGAAGTCACCACGTATAGCCATTTGCTTGTGAAGCTGAGGTGACTGGGCAAGGCAGGCATCTTGACCCTTGTAGTTGAGTCTAAAAACTGCAGCTCCACCTTCACTTGAACCAGCAATCAGCTTTGGCAAAAGAGCCTTCGGATATCAAGAACTGCCCAAAGATCTACACAACAATGCAACCGACATATAGAACTAAACTCTTAACGATTTTCTCTAGCTTTAAAAAGATAAATACTGCAAATGGTGGAAAGACTACTTACATTGCCAACTTGACTCTGAATGCGGAATATCCCCTGATTCGCAGGTGTTCGCAAATCAAGAACTCGGTTATTCAAGCAGGTATCCTGATTAACTCGAACAAGTGTTTCTCCGGCCTATAAACCCATCATACCACCCAACGAATATACATGTACTAAGAGAGAAAGTCCCAGAAAGCTTAACAAAGCTTCAATAATCCATTTCAAAATAAATCATCTAAATGTACCTGCAAAGCCTTTTCGATTTCGACATCACTCCGAGCAGCATCCTCAATGTTAATAGGTAAAACAGCAGCCTTACTCACACAATACAACTTCCCCACTTGAACCTCCACCTAATTAAGATCAACATCTCAATTATTTCAATCAAAACCCAATACAATCATAGGAACTTTCAATCCATTTCTTTCTTGTTTTTTTTTTTTTCCATTTTTTTTTTTCAAGAACCTAATTAATAATATTATTTATTCATCAATTTCTTTTGAAAATCCATGGATATCATCACCATCAATCGCCCCAAAATCCCCAGCAGAAAAACAACCTTGTTTCCGCCCAAACCCCATCCACGGTTTTCATTGCCTAAACCCCAGCATGGCCCGTCCAACCTAAAACCCAGCGAAGAATGCACTCGCACTCCCAGTTGCACAAATCTTAACAAAACCCAGTAATTAACAAATCAAATCTGATAATTAACAAAACCCGGTAATTAACACAACCCAAATCAGCAACAAAAGACATTAATCGCATACTTGGGTCAATCTGCAGTGCGACGCTAGTGGCTCCGTGCTGCTGCGTGCTGGCTGCAGTCGACGGCTATGGGAGAAGATGATGAAGAAGGATGAGGAGGAAGGATGAGGAGGAAGTCTACGGGACGAGAGAGCAGCAACAGAGAATGGATTTAGGATTTGGATGGTGTAAATATTGAAAAAGACGAGGGGTATTTTTGTCTTAAAATGTTATAAATTTGTGTCCCACGATGAAACAAATCGTTCCAGGAGGAAGAGGTGGAACCAAAAATCACCCAAATCAAATCGTTCCAGAAGAAAGAGGTGGAACCAAAAATCACCCAAAACTTGTCCCGTGAAACAGCGTGTTCCACCCATTTTAAGCTCACCAAACATGGGACGGAACATCTTATCCCACTCCGTTCTGTCCCATTCCGCGTACCAAACGCTACCTTAAGTAACTGAAATTTGCAGGGCTTCCCTTGTAAGAGAAATCCCTTGAAAAAATTGGCGTATGCCACTGAATGCGGTGCACACACGGTATTCTTTAGTAAAAGGCGAAAGAATAGTTCGCTTTGTGCTCACCGCATGGCTGCGTGATTGCCATAGTTGACATTCTCTCCTCTTGTATGCGCATTCTCGCAGAGACTGTTTTGCATCCTCCGATGTGGGATTCCTTGCTAATTAATGACGTTTTCACATTTCTCCATTTACATATAATCACATCACATGCTAAAGGACATCAAGATTTACAGCCATATCATTATTATTTTAGACCAAGATATTAGGTTTTAGCTTGTCATGTGTAGCAATCAACACGTACCACACATTTTCTTTTCCTAGATAGACGCTGGTGAATGTAACCTCCTCCTCTCTGCAGCCTTTGGCCTTCACACTGCTGGCTATTTTCCTCATCCTTCTATACATGTGGATTATTCCGCCGCCACATCCACAAACAAAACCCCGTCACCGCCTTCTCCACTCAAGCTCCCTATCATCGGAAACTTGCACCAACCAGGGTTGTACCCTTATTGCTCGTTTCAAGCTTTATTTCAACGTCATGGCCCTCTCATGCTTCTACACTTTGGAAGTGTCCCCATCCTTGTTGTCTCTTCAGCTAGGCTGCCCGTGAGATCATGAAAATCCATGACCTCACATTTTCTGGTCGACCAAAGTCCACCATCGTAAAGAAACTACTAAATACAACTGCACCGGGGTTGCATTTCTCCTTATGGTGAGCAATTGAGGAATATTAAAAGCATATGTGTCTTTTCTTTCTGTGAGAGAAGAGGAAACAAAATCTATGGTCAGCAACATGAAGCAATCGTCGTAATCAGTTTTGAATTTAAGCGAAATGTTTATTAGACTTACTAATGATGTGGTATGTCGAACGGCTTTTGAGAGGAAGTGCAATGGTGGAGAAGGCGGGAGGACGTTTAAGGAGCTTTTGGGGAAGTATGTAGAGTTACTGGGAATAATCAATATCGGGGACTATATATCCCGTGGCTTTCTTGGTTGAGCCATTTCAATGGTTTGGAGGCCAAGATAGACAAGGTGACTAAGCAGTTTGATGACTTTATAGTTCAAAGACTGGTTATCATGACGAATTGAAAGGATTTTGTCGAAGTTTTGCATGCAATTCAGAAAGAAAACTTGACTCAAGTACAACTTTCAAAACATTACCACTAAACATACTTAAAGTGTAATCTAATTGGAGACAACAGTAGCCAATTACATTAGGATCATCAAGCTTCAAGTAATCTTGATCGAGAAAAAAAAAGACAACTTAGTTTTAGACATAAGCGCACGATCAACCAAGTGCAAGTAAACAAGCATATGTTATGAGTAATGATCTTAGCGGTTTGTATCTCAACTTTTAGGTTTCATTTCACTTTTAGTTTTTATCCTCATTGGGGTTTTGAGTGTGATTCCAATAATGTCGAGTAGAAGGAAGAGAAAAGGAAAAAGGAAACTCGATCGTTTTGAGTTGTTTACATTTTGGCAGAGAGAGATATGGTTGAGGCGTCGTGTCCTATGCGGTGCAAATCTTAGGAGGATTTATCATTCAGGACGGGAGATTCTCGTGTGGAATCAGAGATACAGTGAAGATTGCTCAAACTCAACTCTAGTTAATGTGGGGATCCCGAAGAGATGCAGATGCAAGACAACAAGACGAGGAAACAATTCGCATTTGGGTTGCAGAGATTAGAGATGCTGCTTATGATTTGGAGGATGTCACAGATTTCTACTTCCATATGCAGAAGTAGTAAACCAGTGAACAGTTCCTGGATTTCAATTGTGATTTTATCATCATATTAAGGTAATATATGAGCAGAATTTTTCTACACAACGTGCTTTAAACCTGGTTCCCATATCCTTCTGTAGTCCCGATCATATTCTTTTTTCTTTTTTTTCCCCTACATTCATAAAGTTTTTTAGTGCTTCAAATAAAGTTGTTGGTCAGGATCATGAATCGGTTTAAATTGGAGGCTCCATATACCTCATCTCATCTTAGTGCTTCTTTGATTCTTGCGGATGTCAAACCTGCATCGCTTGGTGTACAAGAAAAGGAGTATGCAGAGAATCTCTTTGAGTTACTCCAAGTTGCTCATCCGAATGCACTTCTACATCATGGTAGTGCAAGAAACACACAGGACTTGTTTAAGCCTACTTTGGTAGGTTCTTTTTTGTTTAACATTCATTACGGAGGGGATGAAGTTATGTACATCGTAGACAACAAGATGATCTTGACTGTAGGTTTCAGCAACGTTGTTACAGTCAAGTACTTCGAGGAAATAGAATTACGGCCTCACAGAAGGCAGGCACGTCTTTGAACATGGATCCAGAGAGGCACAAGCATTCGAGTTTTCCTTTCCCTTTTCGACCCATTCAATGGTTGTTTCAGGTGAGGAATCTAAGTTATCAAATGTAGTTAATGTGTATATTGCAAGGGTGCCAGAAATGTAGTTAAGCTTTGGCAAAGAGAACCATTATGTTGTACCAAATTGTAGGGCTTCTTTTGTGAGAGAAAACCCTCGAAAAAATTGGCACATGCCACTTTATGTGGTGTGCACACGGTATTCTTTAGTAAAAAGTGAAAGAAAAGTTCGTTCTGTACTCACCACCCGGCTGCTTGGTTTGCAAATTTCGACGATCTCTTCTTTTGTAGGCACATTCTCTAGTGTTTTAACTGGTAATAACTATCATGACTTAATGAGTGATAGGAGCATATTCATGCGACTTAATTAGCTTGTTCTCGTGCATTTACGTTGTGTTTACTTAGTTGTTTTAGTGTTTAAGGCCACTTTTGTGTATTTTCAGATTATAAGGCTAAAGTGTGCAAGAAGATGCAAATTGGAGCCTTTTGGAGCGAAAGAGGAATGAATGAGTTGAAGACGTGAAGAAACGACGAATTCCTACTCCAACGATGAATTCTTACCAAAACGAAGAATCCTACTCAAACAAGGTTTCCTACTTTAGGAAAGTTAACCCAAAGTTTCCTGTTTTGGTAACCTTTCCTAATCTTAAACGTCCATATTTTCTAGCCACTTTGAAGTCCTTGTAGGCGCTTTAGGACACAAAACGAAGGCCCTAGCCCAAACACAACCCTTTTGCCGTGCCCAAGCCTTTCTTTCCTTCCCTTGCCGTGCAAGGGGGGGTATTTAGGTCCATTGTCATTCACTTAAACCCTATTTCCCCTCCTAACCTAACCCTAGCAATACCTTGCAGCCATCCCTTTTATTTTCTGATTTTATTTCCTAGTTTTGGAAGCTTTTAACTTAATTTTAATAAACCAAAAATAAATCAAGGCCATAGCTAATTTTCACCCTAGATCCACCATCCCATTATTCATTTCCCTACATTTGTACAACAAAGCCGTGCATCCCATAATTATTCAGCCATTAATCCTTTGATTTTGAACCTAGCCGCAAATCCCATTTTTCTTTGTCTTTTAGCGGAGCCACCATTCCATATATTTATTCATTCACAAATTCTTTCCCATTATTCATCCAAGCCATGCATTCCATAACCTAAAAACCCTTGCAGCCGCAAGCCACCATCCCATTTTTATTTCCTTACCTGCCGTGCATTCCATAATCAACATTCACCATAATTCCCAAGCGGTGCATTCCATTTTTCACCCTAACACATTCAGCCGCATATCCCATTTTTCCATTATTTTATTCAGCCATTAACCTTTACACCCCATTCACTCTAAACCTAACATTCCAAAATAGCCGCAAGACATTCCATTTTTCCCCATCCAGCCGCAACACCTTCACCCAGTTTTTCTTCTCTGCCGCAGCTTCCTCCACCTTCCCAGCCACTTTCCACACCTTCCTACACCACCTCACAACCTTGCCGCACCATTAAACCACCATTAAACCATCCCTAAACCAGAAACACATCCAAAAATCATTCACAACCAATCTGCCGCAGAAGGAGAAGAGGAAAGAGGAGCTTCGACGCGCACCAATTCACGTGGATTCGTTGGGCGTTCTAGGTGTAATCAATCCTTTGTGCTTTATGTTTAAATTCATTTGTAATTCTCTTTTTGTGAACATGAGAGGCTAAATCCCCCTAGTTAGCTAGGGGGTGATTCGAAACCATGTTTATGCTTGCAATATGAATTGATTACTTTCGGTTGGAATTTCATAAGTTGTGGATTCAATTTGTTCATCTATTTGATTGATAACTTATTTGTGTATGTTGATTGAGAGTGCACGCTTAGTTTTCATGCATGAATATGATGCTAGATTATGAGGGAGTTTCACCTAATAGTTACAATCTTATAATCACAAGTAGTGAAGATCGCTTGAAAACGATCGCGTTGAATGAATTCTTAGCATAAGTTTCATGCAATTCATAGTAATGAATGCTTCGTCAATGCTTATGTTTTTCATAGAACTTAATGATTCTTGCTTGTATCTCTATTATGCAATTCATGTAGGGAACTTGTAGGGAATGTTTTGGGTTGTCGTATGCAATCATCCAACTTAATAACTTGTGGAAAAACTGAGGGTTAATTAGTGCAATTCACGGTTAATTTGGGGTGTTGAGTTTCATAATTTATCGAAAGACCAACTGAAAATCAAATTGTATGCAAGTGTGACATGTGTGGAGAAGAACCTTCTAGCTAGCATTCATCCATATTTTCATCACATTCATATTTACATTCTGCCTTTAAATTACAATCGTTGCATTTAGTTTAATTTCGTCAAAACCTCAATCCCCCTTTACTTTAGTGTCCAATTTAGTTAGAAAGTGTCTTAGTTTGTGTTTATAAGCGTTTTGTATTCTTTGAGTCTGTTGATTTGTTTGAGTGTTTTTATTGTTAGTTTTGCATTCTTTGAGTCTAGTTTAGTGTTTCAAACTTTATTTTACGTTTTTGAGTCAGTGTCCAAGTGATTTAGTAATCCCTCCTAATCCCCGGTCTAGAACGATCCCTACTTGCATCTTTACTACAATTGTCACAAGAGGGTTTTAATTTGTGTGCTTACTTAGTTCGCATCAAATTTTTGGCGCCGTTGCCGGGGATTAGCAACTTTGCTAATCCCTTGGATTGTTTTATTTTCGTTTG